AGAACTTTGTGTCTTTAATGGAAGAAATTAAAGAAGATACCAGAAAATGGAAAGATCTCCCATGCTCTTGGATAGGTAGGATAAACATAGTAAAAATGGCAATCTTGCCAAAAGCAATCTACAGATTCAATGCAATCCCCATCAAATTCCCAGCACAATTATTGACTGACTTTGAAAGGATAATACTCAACTTTATATGGAAAAACAAAAAAAAAAAAAAAACCCAAAATATCCAAAATAACCCTGTACAATAAAGAAACTTCAGGAGGTATCACTGTCCCCAACTTCAAGCTCTACTATGGAGCTATTGTCCTGAAAACAGCTTGGTATTGGCACAAAAAACTGACAGGTAGACCAATGGAGTCAAATAAAAAAAAAATCCTGATATTAACCCATACCTGCAAACATCTGACTTTTGACAAAACAGCTAAAAGTATACAATGGAATGAGGAAAGCATCTGCTTTCTGTCTCATGGATTATGGAACAGAATGGCACCTGTTCTATCTAGCTGCCCAAAACCATGCACTCCTTGGGAACCTCTGTAGCTCAGAAACTGGTTTGGTTCCCTGAAACTAAATGGCACTGAATCACACCATTGTGGTTAATGGTAGCAGAAACCTAAAAGTATTTTAATCATGTATTGCTGAAAGAATATCCACACCACCATCTTTCTACCAGTTTCTAAGCTATTTGTATTATAATATGTATAGGAAAAGTCTGAAAAATGGAATGTAATATTCAACTCATAGAAACCAGACCTTGACTTTACCAATCTTTCTTCCCACTACACATCAAAAGCAAATTCTACGTGTGCACACTGGGCAATGATATTATAAGCATCATATCTTTTGATGCCAGGGCTGCAGAATCTCCCCCTCCTCAGGAAACCCATACACAGGGAGACTCAGAGGGCAAGGGCCACTGCCAAGTTAACTTCATGCAGGAACAGAACCACAGTCTATCTCATGAGCCATCCAAATCCCAGCACAAAGGACCATTCCAGCAGACTGTTCTGAAAACACTTTACTTACATACAGCAGAAACAGTGGAGAAACTTGGAAATAATCCATAAGCTACTAGTTGCTAGTATTCCTGATTGCTAAGGCTCCTTAGAATCCCTCATTGGATAGGGTGACCCAGATGTGCCTCAGAATGTTAGCAGCTCTGCTACTGGGTGACCAGAGATCAAAAGACTCAGACAGCACAGTCCTTACAGCTCTGTCCTTTCAGCCCAGAAGAAAAGGCTAGCCTAGAAAGTTTGTATTTTAGTAGGCATTCTTCCACTCTCCAGAGTACATCCTGTTCCTCATCCAAAGCACAGGAACCTTTATGTGCATATTCCATTATACACTCAATGTCCAATGAAGCCAACCCATTGCCTCATAGTTGGGAAATCCTGAAGAGACACATCACATTCATATAGTGACTGTTGTTACTGTGTAGCTGTTATTAAAGAAAAACAGGCCCTGAATTAGAAAGCAATGAGGGGTCATTGTAGTGCTTGGAGGCAGGAACAAAACTGTGAATATGATGTAGTTATAATCTCAAAACTTATTGAAAAGTTGACACAGGTGTTATGGCCACGTGCTCCAGAATCTAGGGAGATGTATTAGAACACATCAAAGAATTCTTATGTTAGTGTCCGACCTTTATCCATATTCTTGATTACCCTTGCCTGTGAACCCCAAGAATTGGGCAATCAAGACATTTGTGGATCACCTAAAATTAATTACATAATCCTCATTGAAAATCTCAACTACTGTTGAAGCAGGAAAGCTGTCACTCTACTTCTTGACCCTCCCCATGATGCCACCAGCTAGAAAGTTGGTCAATGAACTCAATTTTTGCTTAGGTCCCTCTTCATATACAAGTTTACAATAAAAGTCATAGAAATTAGATGGCACTCCTTAACTATTCTATTTTTCCTTTTCACTGACAAGTCAAGGCCCAGCCTTAGAGGGGTTACAGAACTGTCTTCCCAACAATGGGCAGCAGAGGCAGGGTTGTATGTTCAAGAAAATTCTCAATTACATATCATGAGGCAAGCCTAGGCTACAGGAGACATTTCTCCAAACAGAAATCAAAAATCAACATCATTTGTGCAAAAATGAATAAAACTACCAATGACCCAGAAACATTGAAGAACAGAGACAAATAGATATGAGAGCAGTAAGACTTATAGAAAACATTGTAAGATGATATCAATAAGTTAATTTGAAATAATAGAAATAATTTATTTTTAGATAAAAAAAATCTTAAATGAGGGCCCAAAAATTAAAATTAATAAAGGTTTAAAAACTTGGGCCCTGAAAAAGAAACTTCTAATGACCCCTTAAATGGGAGTGCCATGGCTGAAGCCTGAGCTTGAGTTTCAGAGAAGAGGAGATGACTGTCCACCACTTATGTCAACATTCCTTTGTGGATAATTGCTGGTGGTAAAGATCCCCCAGCCCAGGAGATAACTGACAGACCTTGCCCTCAACCCCATGTCCTGTCTTATTTACTAAATATATCTTCTTTAAAATATATGGTTATTGCCTTATTCTGTATTTTGTATGACCTTAAGTAACCATGGAGACTTTTAATTAGTGACTTTCAGCTTGATGGTCTTTCCCTATAAAAGAAAAAAAAACTCTCAGTTATTGTTCTGGGATTCTTGGGCCCATTTGGAGCATAGGAGTGCCAGATAGCTTAAATAGAAGAATAGAGAAACTTTTGTGTTTGTATAAGATATTCCATGTCCTTGGGATGGTCTGTCCAGAGTGCCTCGAAATTGGCTTTACCTAACTATATTGATTTTGAAAAAGAGTCTGCCCTTCCCTAGTAGCAGCAATGTCATCAATGAGAGATAAACTGATTTTACCCACATGCATATGCTGGCTGCTAAATTCTGTAATCTGACACATAGAGTTACAGTCAATGGCCTGATTCTTAAACCTCTGAGCTGACATAACTGTGTCAAGAAAGATTGAACATACCTGTATAGAAGAGCTACCTAATTGCAAATTCAATATTCATTGGCTGACATACCCACACAATGTGGTCCATGTTCTTTCCCAAGACATGAATTAGAACATACTAGAAATTCAAAAAGCACTCCTGCTACCACAATCAGGTCTTGTTTCATTATAGTGACTCCCACAACTGATTGTCTACCTTGAATCCTCCTGCCGTGTAAACAATAAAATATGCCTATTTTGTTCTGAAGACAAAAGCCATGGGCCACAAGAGAATCATTTTCTTGTGACTGCATTAGATACTCAACTACATGACACAAATGGATAATTTTACAACTCTGAGGTAGTACAATCATTTAAGAATTTTGAAGGTATAATATAGAGGACAGAAAGGACATTGCCATGGAGAACAGACTAGAATCAAGGCCACCTGAGTCAACATAAGAGAGCTTGTTTCACAAACATTTCTCTTTTCCTGACAAGATGGAAATACAGTTGGTATATGACTTCCCACTGAGAAATCAATTCACACACTTTGGGGACTAATAGAGAAAAATATCTTTAATGATGGTGTGCATCTATCTCTGGCTAACGCTCAAAGAGGAGCCAAGTTAGACAGATTGCATTCCACAAATGTCATTGTATGTGAGTGTCTTTTATGTTCATGTTCCAGGGTATATTTTGAACAAATTAAATAGAGATTGGCAACTTTCAAGTCTAGCCACTTAGGCAGATGGGAGAGTTACACAGCAAAGATATTCCCAGAAGAAAATTTTAAGTTTATCAGTGACCTGAAACAGCAGGGCGCTGAGGTCAAATTTATAGGAGTTTAGAAAAATAGGACAAGTAGGAAGTAGAGAAGATAGAAGATGGGTTGGGGAGGTCTTGCCCAAGATGGGTCTCATGACAAGTGAGTACCTTAAGAAAAGCATCTTGTACACTACTTCCATGGGGAGTCATGCTAGAAAATGGGAAACTTCTATAAGGTCAGCAGAACCTATGATACAATGAAATAATAAATTCAAAAGGAGGCTAGCTAATTTAAAAAATTTACAAAAAGGGAATTCAGGGTATCTTAAGAACATTACTGATTCACCCCACAATGGCCCTGGGACTGAGAACCATAGCTCCATATGGTGGGAAGAGTTAGGTATCATATTGCTCATCTGGTACAACTATGCTTTTCCCATGAAGAAAACTGGAACTTTAGAGCTCACCAGGCCCTAATTTTGGTTGTGCTCCTGTAGGGCCTGCCTCCTTAATCAGCTTTTTAAAGGCCTTTTCTTTGATATAGGTTTGGTTATGAATCAGGGGTGGCACCTTTGTATTGCTTTCAAGTCAAATATCTGGACAATCCTCGTGAACAAATGTGTATCCTAGCATCCTGACCTCTAAATGGCATGGTTAGTATGTACTTACCTTTGGGGTGTTTTAGAGGCAGTCCTCCCTCAGCTAATTTTATTTTGTGAGAATCACTATCTCCTAAGCATTGGTAAATCCTTTATATCACCGATTTTACTCTTCAACACCACGGCATAGCATTAAAGTGAAACACTGCACATGAAATGCCTTTTACAACCTCCACAAAATTGACTACAATGGAACTTACAGGTTAAATACAAAGTGCTGACCATCTAGAAGATACTGGAGAAATTAGGCCTCTCTGAGTTTGGAAACCTGCTTTCCATGGATGCACCAAAAGCATGTTGAAGTTGGCTAGAAAGATATTTCTACACACAGTTTCCTGCCCCCAGTACTCTAAGCAGATTTGGCCCACAGAGGAAAGTTATTCAGAGGCCTGCCCCTGGGTCCAAGGAGTTTCAAGGACCACACAGGACCTCACAAGACAGGGAACGTGGTTGAAGTTTTCCAACCACATCTGGGTTGGACACAGCACAGCAGCTCCCGCGCCTGCCCATCTGCTTCTCCCCATGCAGTAATAGCAGCCCATAGCTCACCATGTCGTGGTTGCCCAGGTCCCCAATGCTCTCAGCTCAGCTCCCTGCAGCAGCAATGGCAACACAGCGCACAGAAATGCAGAGTCCTCTTCCAAGCCAGCAGCAGGAAGAGACCTGCACCACTTCCCACTGGCAGATTGTCTGGAGGGCCTGACTGGCTAGTGAGGCCTGAGTGACGTGAGCACAACCCACTGGTTATGCTGTCACACAGTTTATTTGGAAGAAGAAATGGCAGAATGTGCAGCTCCTCACTGATTGATGGGCTGTAGCCAATGGTCTGACTGAATGGAAAGTGAAATATTGAAAAATTGGTGACAAAAGACATCTGGGGAAGAATTATATGGATGTATCTCTCTAAATGACCAAAGGCTGGGAAGATACTTGTATCTCATGTAAATGCTCACCAAAAGGTGAACTGAGGAGAGTTCAATAATCAAGTAAATAGTGTGACTCTTTCTATGGAGTCAGCCACCTTTCCAACCATCTATACCTCGGTATATACACTCACCCTCAAAGTTTAGGAATGGTGCTAACAAGCTGACATAATCACAGGAATCTGTGTCAAGGAACGAAGAAGTCCATAGAATGAAGGTGTTTACCTTAGAGCCTACCATGATATGGCAGCAGCTTCAGCCTCTTTGCACACCGCTTTCCTTCTTTCTTGTTCTCTAAACTTGGTGGCCTTCTTTAATTCTGCAAAACCAAGACCTGGACAGCAACGAAAATATGTATTTAGTGCCTGCTTCAGTCATTGTTTTCGGTTGTCTTACAAAAAGTAAGAAAGGGGGGAACAAAACCAAATTGGGCCACAATACCTCAGACACCCACCCACCTTAGCGCTGCAGAAGGCGCCAAGGCAGAGACTGGGCCCCCAGCGTCTGACAGCCAATCACCTGAGGCAGCGCGATGAAGCAGGCTCCATGCCCTCTTGAAGAGGTCGTGTCACCGCCTTCAGGGAATGCTCGGGGCGCCACTTTCAAAGTCGCTGGGCAGGCCAAGAGGACTTCCACAGCGGCTCAGGCTTCCCCGCGGTCTCGGTGTCGCCCCTCAGCCCGATGGAGAAGCCGCGGGGAGCCCAGTGCATGCAAGGGCACCTTCCTGAAATGAAATCTACCCCGCCTAACCTGTTGTACTGACTACGCCCATTGGGGGCGTGGGAACAGGTGTGGGCGTGGCCGGTAGAGTCCGGATCCTAAGCCAGATGCATGCCCTTACTTCCAGGTAGGGGAGAGAGAAGATCCAATGACCCTTTGGAGCAGGAACCTGCAGCAGTCGTCCGTTTCTTGTGTAAGTGAATTCTCCCCGAATAAACCTCAGTCAGCATGTATTGTGTCCCATAATCTTGTTACTCCCATTACCCTCCCTCTTGGTGGGGAACTTGGAGCCCTCCAGCTGCCCGTATCCCCACGCTGCCCTGCTGCACCCGCCCCCGCCCCCGCCCCCTACTGAATTCACTTTATGAATTGCTGTGGTGATATACTTCAGTTGTTTCAGAATAGCCAGTTGTCTGTAAATTAAACTGTCTTGAAACTGTCTGATCCCGTGTCTGTTTAATGAGCTGTTTTTCTGAAGTGCTTGGCTTATGTTTCTTACTTGGTGTTTGTAACCACCTATGGGTGATTACTGACTTAGTTATAGGAAGAAGATACACTAGTAAGCCCAGTAGTCTTCAATGATAGCAATGGTGTTACATTGTTCAGAGAGGAAAAAATGAGGATGATATCTACTTCTAAGAACAGTATCTTATGCTCACATAAACATAATTAATAAGCCAAGCTAATTTTAAGTATTGCAGATATACTTGGGCATAGTAGTGAGTGCTTTTGGTCCCAGCTCTAAAGAGGCAGAGGCAGGTGAATTTCTGTGAGTTCTAGGCCAGCCTGAGCTACTTAGAGAGTTTCAGGACAGGCAGAACTACATAGACAGACTCTCAAAACTGAACAAACATGTAATATCTAACACATTGAAAGAAAAAAGAATTACAGACATGATCAAGAAATAGTATATCTTCAAAGCAGGAAAAGCATAAAGATTCCTACCCTTACTCCCAAAAAAGTATAGTGGGGAAGGTTTTGTTTGTTTGTTTGTTTGGGGGGTTTGTTTGTTTGTTTGTTTGTTTGTTTTTTGAGATAGTGTTTCTCTGTGTTGTTTTGGAGCCTATCCTGGAACTTGCTCTGTAGACCAGGCTGGCCTTGAACTCACCTGCCTCTGCCTCCGGAGTACTGGGATCAAAAGCGTGCACCACAAATGCCCAGCTGGGAAGTTTTGATGATATAAAAACTACTATCTAAATTTTCTTGCTTTCCAAATAATTATTTTCAAATATTGTATAGTAAAGTTCTTAATGCAACTTATGTAATACACACATATTCTATGTAATCATTTGCAGTATTAGATACTTTAAAGTTATTGTTTTTGAAAATATGATCAATACTCTATTATGTGATAGTACATTAATTTATTTTATTTTGACTGAAATTTTGGCATAGCCAGAACTTGGGAAAAGTTTAACTTTGCTGGCAATTTTGTATTAAATGGTGGTTAATGATTTCTTAAGCCAAGCTGCTGTAAGTCTCTCTGAATAGGAGAGAGCCTTGGAGAGCTGCCTGTTCAACACATCTCTTCCAGGTCTACTCGAGGCTTGGCACTTCTCCTTTACCCCACAGTGCACAGTCAAGACTGATGGATGAATTTTGACCTGAGTACAACTTTTTTAAGAATGTATTTCCATGACCAGCTCTTATTGAAAACTGACTCTATATTTTGCCATTTTGCTTTTAAGAAATTCCCTCTTCCTTTCCTTTGAAATGCTAATAATCTCTTCATTACCTCAGAGAAAAATCAGTGAAACTTTCATCTCATACTCTTTACATTATGGATTATAATCTTTAAGTTAGTGGGTTTTTAAGTCTTCTAGCCTGCTAAATATGTCAGTGGCCATGTCTGTTTACCATACCAACATGGTTTAGAACAGAGTTCAGATAATTACCAAGGTTGTTGAGATAGAGATGAATAATTGCTAAAGAAGACCTTAATTTTCTTTTTCACCATTCCCATTTTTCTTCTTGAAGTAGGAGAGAGGATACATACTGATAGGGCTTGCCCTTAATTGATGAATTAATTAAGATATGTTTGCAAGGTATAGCAATCAACTGGTTGTTTTTCTTGCTTGCTTGTTTGTTTGTTTTAATTTCTGAGACAGGGTTCCTTTTTGTAACATCCCTGGCTGTTTTGGAACTCACTTTTTGTAAGGAGTACGGTTTTTCCGCCCGCCACCTGGTATTGTCCTGCCGCCACGCCGCCAGCCCCAAATAATGCACAGAGACTGTATTAGATATAATCCTGTTGGCCAGTTACTAGTTTCTTATCAGCTAGCTCTATCTTAATTATTAACCCATTTCTATGTATTTCCACGTGGTCTTACCGAGAGCAGAGGAATGGCAGTTCTCTCCAGGCTCTCCATGCTGACTCCTCCTTACTACTTCCTCCTTGTCTCCTAGTCCCTCCTATCTTCCTTTCCTATTGGCCAACAGTGCTTTATTTATTAACCAGTATGAGAAACATACACAGAATGACATCTCCCATCATCTCCTCTTTTCTGTCTAAATAAAAAGAAGGGTTTTAACCTTAAAATAGCAAAATATATCACATAACAGTTATCAAATAAGAATCACAGTTAACACTATTTAGTCCATTAACATTTAGCAAGATTTGAAGAAAATATTCCATCATCTATTTTATCTTTGTGAGTTAAAGTCCTATATGTAATTTATTGTTAAGCTTAACTAAGGAAAACTATAACCATAACTATCTGTCTTCAACTCCATCAAAGACCACAGAAGGATAGTATATAAACTCTAGAAATGACAGAAACAACTCACTGCCTGGTCACCCGAAGTTCTTTTGTAATCTTCCATCTTCAGCCCATAGGCCATAGTGTGTCTGGCAGACTCTTCAGCAAATCAGGAGACTTTAAACTGTCCTCTTGTATTGGCAGTTTGTCCGTCACTTTTTTCTGTGTCCTGCAGACAGTCTGGCACACTCTTCCATGAAGCAGAAACTCTGTAGCAATGTCCATCTTGAATCAGCAATCACTTTTCTGTGGGTCCTGCATGTCCAGTTTATATAGCACAAAGTCAAACAGTCCAGACAAGAGCAGTATCTTGTCCACATAGCTAGTCTTGCCATGTTGAAAGCAAACTCCATAACGCGTTTCTTCAAGGTCCATCTTCCTTTCTGACGCAGGTGGCGTTGCCAGGAGCAGTTAGGTCTCACTGTCAAGAAAACCCTAAACCATTTTAAATGCCATTTTCTGTAGGTCTTTGAAAGGTTTGAAGAATGCTTATCTATCTCAAATACATCTCTGCATATCTAGAAAACCTAACTTAAATATAAGTTTTGACTATTATAGGTTCTATAATCTGCACAAAATTATACATTACATTTCTAACTGAGCTATATAAACACAATACCTAAACAAAAGAAATATAAATATCATAAAATTGACCTTAAATAGTATCAATAAATGAAAATCCATTTTCCAAAACAAAGTATTCATATCTATACCATAATCCCCTTTTTACCTTTAAAACAATATTGGTTGTGATCATTAACCATTTATAACCAATCCCATAATAATGAAAACAAACATTTATAAACAATATTTGGGAATTTGGGCATCGTTCTTTCCAAACTACTTCCTGCTGATAAAGGGCGCTGTCATGGGGGAATCCTAAGACGATTCAGAAATCCAGGCTGTAGTCTGTAAGGCTGCTTTGTTCAAGATGTTTTGAATGTTGAACCACCTGGTCTGTTGTTGCTCCTGCTGGAGTTCATTCTCACCTCCTGTTGGGCAAAGAATTGCCCCCACCTTGACCACTGATTTGGACATGCGGTCCTATGTGCTTGCAGGAGACAAATATAGAAGGCTGCTTGACCTTGCCAAGTCAGGGTAAGACAGCCATTCTACCTTCCTGCTGTTGTTGTGGTCTGTCAAGTTCTCTTGGCCTTAGCCAAAACTGGGTGTACCAATGTTGCTGTGAGACCTAGGGTGACTGTTCAGGTGGCTTGCTGTTTCTGTCCTTGCTGCATCTTTTGGAAGTTGTCCATTCGCATTTCCTGTCTACTCTAGTATTGTTATTTTCCTTCTCAGGTCTTGATGAGGTTGAAGATTAAACTATCACAACTATTATTCTCTCTTCCTAGTTAGATATATTAGGTACTAGACTTATGTTTTCCAGCTTAGGACAACTCTATTGTAAACTCCATTATGCCCTCACCCTAGGACTAGATATGTAGGTAATTTTGTTCTCGATTTTCCTTTTCTTAGAGCACACTTGTTATTCACTGTTTTGTATATAGTTGTATTAAGCCTAAATCTTTTCTTTAGACTGAAAGGGGAATTGTAGTGAGATAGTCCTTCTATGGCACTGACCACGCCCATTGGGGGTGGAGCCATGGGCGGAAGTGACCTGTGGAAGGAAGTCGGAGGGAGAGCCGGGAGAAGCTCTCTTGCTGGCGTGACTCGGACAGGAGAGGATCGGGTTGAATTTCCTGGTGTTCATCTGTCTAGGTTGTAAGTTATTTCTCCCTGAATAAACATCTATTCGGCCTATTTGTTTATCCCAATCCTTATTTAACCGCAATAACTTTGTAGACCAGGCTAGCCTCAAACTCACAGATATTTACTTGAATCTGTCTTTCCAGTGTTAGGATTAAAGGCATATGCCACCATGCCCAACTCAATTGGTATTTTTACTATACTAAAGTGTATCTTTTATTTTTCCTGGATATACATTTTTAAATATTTCTCAGGTATTTCATAAAATATTTTTATTTATTTATACTCTATTCAAAAATGCTTTATTATGTTTAGTACATTGTTAAAACTATCTACACATGACACTTCTTGTTAAATGTAATGCAT